GGTCCTTTGAGATGAGTACTCCAAGATCCTTGACAGAGTTTGGATCATCAACAAGGTCTTGACTATTCAGCCTGTATTTTATTTTCTGATTTTTTTTGTAAGACAGAGCATTTATTTGTTGAGATTTGAAGTTGCCATTTGTTTGACCATTCTGATACATAGTCAAGGTCTTTTTGGAGGGTAGTAGTATTGTCTGTGGTGTTGAATAGCTTTACATAATCAGCGAAGAGAATGTAGTTGCTCTTAATATGATCACAGAGGTCATTTATGTAGAGTATGAAGAGAGTTGGTCCTAGAACACTGCCTTGGGGGACACCACTGTTGACAGGTACAGAATTTGATAGGACGCTCTCAATTTTGACCATTTGTTGTCTGTTTGACAGCAATGCTTCTATCCAGTTATGCAGGTGCCCAGAGATACCGTAAGATTTTAGTTTTAGGAGTAGTTTGTTGTGTACCACTGAATCAAAGGCTTTACAGAAGTCTATGTAGATTGCGTCTATTGTTTTGCCCTGATCGAGTTGTGTAGTCCATATGTTTTTGCAGTGTAAGAGTTGCAGATTACAGGATAGTTTTTTTCTGAAACCGAATTGTTTATTGGAGAGTAGGTTGTTTGTCTCTAAGTGGAGGATGATGGATTGGTTAATAATTGATTCCATGACTTTACAGGTGATGCAGCATAAAGAGATTGGTCTGTAATTTTCAACTAGGCTTGGGTCTCCCTTTTTGAAGATGGGGATGACTGTGGCTTGTGACCATAGGTTAGGCAAGGAGCTGGTCCTGAAAGATTTTTCAAAGATTATGCTTAGGGGTTCGGCTATGGCAGTGGATAGCTTTTTAAAGAAGTAGGCACATATTCCATCCGGTCCAATAGATAGAGATGGTTTTAGATTGCGTAGTGCTTTTTCAACATTGTCTTCTGTAAAATCGATATGTATTAGATCATTGTAGTTGTCTGTGGTTCGGCTAGGAAATACTGGGGATGATCCATTGCTGTTTACAAATACTGAGCCGAAGAATGTGTTAAAGATGTTGGCTTTAATGGTGTCGTCATTGCAGTCTTTACCTATCAGGGGTGGGATGGATCTTGAGTCTTTTAGTTTGTTGTTTACAAAATTGTAAAAAGCATGGGTGGAATTGGTGCATAGAAGGTTTTCCTCTTGTTTAATGTGATAATTGGTGCATTCAGTCTTTATCTGGTGGCATAAATTTTTGTATCGGCTTTTGAAATTGGCAACGTGACCAGATTTGTTTTTCCGCCAGAGTGATCTCTTTTTGGATTGAAGTTCCTTATTGTTATGGGTCATCTGTTTTTTGTTTTTGTTTTGGGAGTTGTTGTTGGTACATATAGTTTGATGACTCTTTTGACTTCAAGTAAAAATATGTTGTAATGGTCTTCAACAGCATTGCATCCAGTGAATAGAGATTGCCAAACAAGGGATGAGAGATCGTTGTCTATAAGATCATAGTTGCCTTTTTTGAAGTTATAATTGGGGATTCCGTCATTGTGATGACTTTTATGTGGATGTATGTTGAGACAAAAGTCAATCATGTTGTGGTCACTGTTGGAAAAGGGTTCTTTAATTTGTATTTCGTAAATTGAATTCAAACTATTGCAGAAGATGAGATCGAGGCAGTTGTTTAGTCTAGTGTTGTTGGTTACTAGTTGTTCCAGTCCCAGATTTGTAACAGCATTGTAGAAGGTTGCGTGTATGGGTTCAGTTGTACATTCATTTAGGGTCCAGTCAATATGAGGTAGATTGAAGTCACCAAGAAAGATAAAAGCGGGTGGGCAGGATGTTGCCCCATGTTAGTAGTGTATTTAGCTTGTTTACATGTTCGATGTCATAATCAGGGGCTCTGTAACATAGTAAGAATCGAAATGTGATATTTCAGGATAGTTCAGATGATGGTCTCAGGAAGAGCAAGCTCCTAGGTAACTTGGATGTGTTTTAGATGTAAGGACTTTTTATAGAAGATAGCAACACCACCTCCTCTACGGATTTCACGAATTTGCCACACGATAAATCAATCAATCATCTTCCCTGCAGAAAAATCCCTTAAAGAAACTCCTGGATTTGGAGGGAAAAAAAAACACCCTGAAATCTAGCAGGAATCCCTTCAACGTGCAGAAATTGGGGGCTGGTGGGTGGGTTTGATATAAAACCCGGGCTCCCTCCGAAAGGACTGCAAAGGGGCCGCCTCCCTTTGATCCTTGGACTTTTGCCCAAAGAGGAATCCACTTCCAGGGAGCTCCCCCGGGTGGGGGGTGGGGGGCACAGGCAGCCCCGGAGTGCGGGGACCCCCTACCAGGTCACTCAACCGGTTTTTCCGGAGCGCAAATGGTCAAGAGACGCAGCGCAGCGGAGCTGATCCCAGATCAGAGGGAGGGAGGGCTCGCTCTTGGAGGACGTCGAGAGGGAGGGGGCGAGAAGGGGCCGGGGGGGGGGGGGGGCCGGGGGTTGGGGAACACTTTTTTGTGCTTTTCCCCCTGCCCCCCGCCCCCCCCCCCCCACCGCTTCCCGCTGCGTGTTTGCCCAGCCGGCCCGTCTCGCCTTCAGCTACTCGTTTGAAATCCAGCCCAGGGAACTTGCCTAGCGGCGCTTCGGGAGGCTTAGAGGCGCCCCCCCCCCACAAGTCGGGGGTCTCGTGGGGGAATCCCAGACTTTGGACCTCTATCCCGGTGGGTGACCCCTCTGAGCTGCAGCGGGACGTCGCGCGATTCCAGACAGCCTCCCTGGGAGAGCCAGGATCGCGCCTCCGAGCCCGGGGATCTCCTGCGCCAGCTCTCTTGCCGGGCTCGGCTCTTTGCCCCGAGGGGGCTGGTTTGGGTTGGTTGGGGGGGAGGGAGGCAGCTTTGGTGAGGACCTACCTTCCTCAACCCCCCCCCCCCCCCCCCCCCCCCCCCCACACGAGAGTTTAGGGCTTTCACTTAACGCGCATCTCTCCAGATGTGTCTGGGGCACTAAGCAGAGTTTCCGCAGGCAGAAACGCGCGCGCCCCTCTGGCTGCCCCCCCAGAAGATCCCCTCCCCGCGAGGCCAGCCCCGACGCCCCTTTGCCCCCCGGCGGCCCCCCCCCCAATTCCAGACCCTCCCTGCGCCCCAACCTAACCCGCCTTCAGGGAGCCCGGGGATTCGGGCTGCGCTTGGCGGAGTGTGGCTCCCGCGGGGCCCACCCAACCCGGGCAGAAGTCTTCCGGCGTGGGAGGGGGTGCAAAGGCGAGCCCCCCGCCCCCTCCCTCCCCTCCCTCCGCGGAAGGCCGGCCTCCTGGCTTATCTCCGCCGGGGAGGGGCGGCTGGTGCCTGGGCGCGATAGTGGCGCTCGCCCGCGGCTCTGCGTCCTCTGGCCGCCGTCCAAGGCGAGGCGGTGGGCGGTGGGCGGTGGGCGGTGGGGTTTCTCCCTCCCAGGAGCGCCGCCCTGCACAGAGTCCCCCTCTCGGCCGCCTCTCGCAGACGGACGCAGCCCGCGCGGCTTCCAGGTGAAGGGGCTTCTCAGCCGGGCAGGTGCGCTCGTGGGGTGGCGGGCGGGGCGGAGGCTGGGCAGGGGAGACCAAGCCAGGGGGAAGGGGCCAAGCTCCAAGCGGCGGAGCATCAGGCGGCCCCTGCGGGTCCCTCCGCTCCACGCGCTGAGCCGAGCGGAGCTGCGAGCTCCAGGCAAGCAGAGAGCCGGCTCCCCCCCCAGGAGGCGCCTCGTGGGAGCCGCGTCGCCCCTGCTGGTTTCGGCCCCACAAACCCCCTGGAGGGAGGCTGGGGCTACCCCGTCTCTGGCGGTTCGTGGGCTACCCGGTGGAGGAGCCGCAGGGTGGAAGGTCCCGACGGGGGGGGGGGGGCAGAGGAGGGGACTTTCCAGGTGGGGTTCTGGGCAGCACAGATTACAGAATAGCATCGTTGGAAAGGACCTTGGAGGTCATCTAGTTCAACCCCCTCCCAAGCAGGAGACCCTACCACTCCAGGCTAAGTTTTTAAGAAGAGATTGTCTGAAATGGAACAGGGGGTTGGACTAGAAGACCTCCAAGGTTCCTTCCCACTCTGTTAAACGGCTGCCCGGTCTCCCCTTAAAAACCTCCTGGGATTTTTCCCTTGATGTGGCTCCTTTTACCAGGGACTTGAGAGCAGCCGAGTTTGGAAGGTGAAACTTCTGCTCTTGAGGTGGGGAGGGGGGGGGGGGGTGAAAGGACCCAGCAGCTGGCCACGGAGGGAAGAGTCAGCCACAAAATTGGTGGTGGTGGTTCCTTCCAAGCCACTTTCCTCCTCCACGGAAGAATGCAAAATAGCAGAGTCGGAAGGCACCTTAGAGATCTTCTAGTCAGCCCTGTGCTCGGGCAGGAAACCGTAGATCAGAGGTCTCCAAACTTGGCCACTTTAAGACTGGTGGACTTCAACTCCCAGAATTCTCCAGCCAGCATAGAGAAGAGAGAGGGAGGAGAGAGGGAGAGAGAAGAGAGACAGAAGGGAGAAAGTAAAGAGGAGAGAGAGGGAGATGACAGAGAAAAGAGAGAGAGAAGAAAGAGATAAAAGAGAGAGAAGAGAGAGAGTCAAGAGAGATAAGAGTCAAGAGAGAGAGAGAGAGAGATGAGAGAGGAAAGGGAAAAGAGAGAGCAGAGCTGGCTGGAGAATTCTGGGAGTTGAAGTCCATCAGTCTGAAAGTGGCCACTTGAAAGCCTCCAGTGACGGAGCACCTGCAACTTCTGGTGGCAAGCTGTTCCAGTGGCTAATGGTTCTGCCATTTGTCAGAAACGGTGTAGGGTCTCCCGTTTGGGCAGGGGGTTGGACTGGATGACCCTACAAGGTCCCTTCCAACTCTGGTTATCTGTTATCTGTCTTCACTGTTAGGAAATCCCTCCTTAGTTCCAAGTTGCTTCTCTCCTGGATGAGTGTTCCACGCGTGGCTTCTTCTCCTGCTGCCTTCCGGGGCTTTGGAGAGGAGGATGGCCTCTGGGTTCCCCCCACCCCCCCCCCCACCTGGCAGCTCTTCTCTCTTCTTCCCTCCAGGTTCCAGATGGCCGTCCGGGCGGCCCTCCTGCTTCTGCTGGCCCTCTGGGCTGGCTGTGGCCTCTCCTCCTTCCCGCACCACCTGGTGCAGCTGAGCTCCCGCCGTAGCGCCTGCAAGCCCGTGCCCAGCAGCATGAGCCTGTGCCACGGCGTGGGCTACAGCGAGATGCGGCTGCCCAACCTGCTGGGCCACGACACCATGAAGGAGGCCCTGCAGCAGGCCGCCTCCTGGGTGCCCCTCCTGACCAAGCAGTGCCACCGGGAGACCAAGAAGTTCCTCTGCTCCCTCTTCGCCCCCGTCTGCATCAGCCAGATGGAGGAGCCCGTCTTCCCCTGCCGGTCGCTCTGCGAGGCCGTCCGGGACAGCTGCCTGCCCGTCATGGCCGCCTTCGGCTTCCCTTGGCCCGAAATGCTCAACTGCAGCCGCTTCCCTGGGGGCAACGAGCTCTGCATCCCCCCGGTGGGCCCTGAAGACCAAGGACAGCCCCCGCGAGAAGGTGAGCCAGAAGGGGGGGGCTGGCTGGGGTGGGGGTGGGGGCAGCGGGGAGAGCACCCCCCTCCCAGGCCCAGGCCCCGCTTGCGGCAACAAGCAGGCCCTTTTGGGGGGGGAGGCCCACTCTGGCGCATAAACGCACCCTGCGTTGCGACCCCTGACCCGGGAGGGGGCCCCTTCAAGGACGGGGAGTCCTCGGTATGCGACCGGAATTGAGCCCAGGTTGCTAAGGGAGACGTGTATTAAGGGAGTGTTGTCCCATGTGATGGGCCTTTCTTGGCACCGTTGTGAAGTGAATCACTGCAAGTGTTCGGTTAGTCACACGGTCGTTAAGTGAATCCGGCTTCCCCGTGGACTTGGCTGGTCAGAAGGTCGCCAAAGGGGAATCATGTGAACACCCCCCCCCCCCCGGGATGCTGAGGCCGTTGTAAATAGGAGTACATTGGCAAGCGGCCGAATTTAGATCACGTGACCATGTGGAACGCTGCAATGGTTGGAAGGGTGAAAAACGGTCTTAAGTCGTGTTTTTTTCAGTGCCGTTGTGAGTCTGAATGGTCACAAAATGAACTTGTAATACATATACATATACACAAACAGAGAGAGAGACCTGAAATGCTATAAGGTTTCCTGACTAAACAGGGTTGGACTAGAAGACCTCCAAGGTCCTTTCCAACTCTGTTATTCTATTCTTCTCTGTGTGTGTGTGTGTCTGTGTGTGTGTGTGTGTATTCATAGATTTTCACGGGTACAGGTATGTAGGTCTAGGTGTGTTCGGGTCTTTTCCTGTTTAAGATTACACGGGAAAAGACCCGAACACACCTAGACCTACATATCTAGATATAGGTATAGGTATAGGTATAGATATAGTTACATACATACATACATATACAGAGAGAGAGAGAGAGAGAATGATAGATAGGTAGATGATATGTAGATAGATAGGTAGATGATAGAAAGGAAGGGGGAGAGAGAGAGATGATAGAGAGAATAGATAGATAGATAGATAGATAGATAGATAGATAGATAGATAGATAATGGGGAAATAGGTAGATAGAGATGGTATTCAAAAGGCCTAAAGTTGCTGGGTCTCCAATCAGAACCTCTCTGGAAGGACAACCCCCCCCCCTCAATCTCCCAGCTGCTGCCTTAAATTACGAAAAGGGGAGAGAAATGGGGAGGGGGTCTTGCTGTCCATCCCTGGTGGAGAGTTAGGGTCCCCACCTCATTCTCAGTCACCGGAGGGTCCAGAAAGCTGGCTTGGGGTGCCCCCCAGGATTCTTCTTCTTCTGATGATGATGATGATGATGACGGGGTGTCCTTGGTGCCCTCTGAGCTTAGCGGTTTTCTTGCTGACATTTCACCACCCAACTACGGAACATCGCCAAGGAAGGCATTGTTAAAGGGAGATTGGATAGCTGTTGGTCCGGAATGGTCTCTCCTGCTGGAGCAGGGGGCTGGACTAGAAGACCTCCAAGGTCCCTTCCAACCCTGTGGTTCTGTAGAAGTCTGCAAGAAAACCACCCAACTCAGAACTGCCCCCCCTCCCCCCCAATTCAGCCCTGAGCTACCAAGATTATCTTCTTCTGTCCTTCTGATGACCGTAACAGCCCTGAGTGGCCTTAATAGCCGGAACAAGGACGCTTTGGCCTGGGGGGGGGGGGGAGGGAGGGGGAGGGCATTGTTTGCTGAAGGGCTGTTGAGCCTGTGTACAAAGGGATTCAGGGAGAAGGTGAGATCCAATCTAGAAAGGTGGCGTTGCCAAATATTGACACAGACCAACACAAAAGAGGATGCAGACCAGTTGAAAAAGATCTCACTTACATCAGAGCCCTCGGGCCCCATTCCTGCAAAATCCACCCCCTTCTCTCTCTTTCTCTTTCTCTCTCTCTGTGTCTCTTTGTCTCTCTCTCTCTCTCTCTCTCTCTCTGTCAGTCTCTTTCTTTCTCTCTGTCTGTCCGTCTCTCTGTGGAAAGGGAACTTCATGAGGACAGTGGTGACACCCAAGCAGGAAAAGCCCAAAGGGAACATCAGGCCAGCCATAAAACAAACTTGCATAGGAAAAGAGATTTAATAAAAGGTATTGAAAGAAGCCCCCTAGACAAAAGCCAAGTGATTAAGAAAGCTAGGGAAACAAGAAAAAGAAATCCCTTACAAACAACAGGTCATGCCAAATCATCAAAACAAATAGACAAAAGACACGAAATAAATTCCATAGCAGACAGGAGATTGCCACAAAACAAATATAAGAAAACAGGACGAAACTGATAATCCAATCAAACCACCCCACGGAGTTTACCCTCCGGCGGAAATGAAGACAACCCCTGACAGGATTTAAAACATTAAGAAATACAAACACAAGCACTCACACACAAAAGGAGAAAAAAAGTATAAAAACCAGGGGTTTATTATAAAAAGCTAGCTAGCCCCAGGAACGCAGACTTCTTGCTATCTCTCGCCTTCCTGAAAAATAAAAAGAACCAGCTTTCAAGCAGTTGCCTGTATCCTTGCACCGGAGCTCTCCCAGCAGGAAAATCGAATCCTCAGAAGAAAGGCCAGCCTTTCAACATCTCTCTCTCTCTCTTTTTCTCTCTCTGTGTCTCTTTGTCTCTCTGTCTGTCTGTCTGTCTCCTTCTGTCTTTCTCTTTCTTTCTCTATGTCTGTCTGTCTCTCTCTCTCTGTTTCTCTTTCTCTCTCTCTCTCTCTTTTTCTCTGTGTCTACCGGTCTGTCTCTTTGTCTCTCTTTCTCTTTGTCTCTCCCCCTCTCTTCTCCCCCCCCCTCTCTCTCTCTCTC